GAGTAGCGCGATCAGCTCGAGGGGGGCTGACCATGGGGGAACGGCTCGCCGCTTTGCTGCTCGTCCTAGGCGCCGTCGAACTCTGTTGAAATCTCAGTTTGCTGCTTTGCGATGTGATTCATCCAGAACTGCCATTGCTGTCATATTTGTGCGCTGTCCTCTCCATTCATGCCAATCATGAAGAGGCTGCGTGCCCATGCCGCCTTGGTGCCCAGATAAGCTCCACTGTTGCATCCATTGTGTGCTGCTCAAACCGGCCGTGCGAACCGCAAGATGGCATCTTCGCTTCGTGCCGAACTTCGTTCCAGCTGCTCTACGTGATAGTCGATGTACTTCAGCGTGCTGTCGCTTGTTCCATGCTTCCCATAAGGAGTCCAGCGCTCGCTCCTGAAAGCGGAGCCATTCTCGATGTCGATACTATTTCATCCGTTGAGATAGTGCTCCCAGCTCGATTTCCAGTGCATCTTTATATTGCCCAATCATGTCCGTATCGAACTGAGACCGCTTCTCCATGCGATGCTTTAAGAGAAAGTATCGGCGTTCGCGTCTCTGTTGATACTCAGGATCGTCATACAAAGACGGGCGTTTAAACAACTCTTCGCCCACCGAAATCATCACATACACCAGGTACTCGAACAACGGGCCAGGCGAGGCCTGGTTGATGAGACTTATAACTTCATCCGCATTCTGCTCAAGATGCTGCTCTATCTGCGTGATGAACTGTTCGCCAGCTTCGCTGCCTGAGAGAGATAAGGCCTGCATCAATGTGTCGCGGTCCCATCTGGTACCCTTGGTAGCATGAAAAGCGCGTGCGCCTGGTAGCCGAAACTCCACATGTAAAGGGACATGATCACGCCGAAACTTGCTAGGAATGTTCTGAATACGTCTGCCCAGTCGAAGAAGTGTGCCGCTGGTCCGTGTCGATTCCGCCAGCGTCTGTGGCATGGCCATGTAGTCCACGATCGACGAAGCGCCGTCCGTGCCATACCAGGTGGGTGCGTCATTTCCCGTCGTGGGCGCGCACATATAGCGCTTCTCCATGAGTTCGCGAAATGTTTTTCCAGCTGCATGCTCGCGACGTGCTCCAGCGGGTAGAACTGCAGAAATGTCCAAGAGATATTCGCCCCCTCGCGCTGCGTCGTAATCTTTGCCGAGCCCGTCGTTCAAGTCCACTCCAAGACTGGATCACTGCGTGACGGACTTGAGCTGATAACTTTACCAAGCCAATGTGTAAGAACTGTAACCGTTTTGTCGTAAACCTGCATCGCCTTCACTGCTGTGGGTCGTGGCGGGTAGTAAGCACCAATCACCGTGAAGTCCCACGAGCTGGACGGAACTCTAACGGTAAGCCCTCGTCCTGCGAGATGGGCTGGGGGTACTTGTACTTTACGCAAATGCTTCTGTCTGGTTTGGGTTCCAAAAGAAATAAGAACGCCCGTGGATTTGTTGGTCATGGAACCAGCGGACCAGCCTGCATCAATACGCCATATGCTGCCACTGCGAGATTGTTCCATTCTCTATTTGGTTCTCCTTTGGGTGCCCACGAGCGTGATCGCGTCGAAGTTAGAACATGCTAATTCAATCTCTTCCAAACGATCCCCCGCTGTGGCCGCGAGGGGGTTGAAGCGCATCATGCGCCAGACGTGCGACTGCGACTCCAGGGCGTGTGCCTGGTCCCCACATGTGGAAGAGAGAGCCGCCAGCAATCCGCCTGTCGCCCTCATCAGGCAGTGGCCGTTCAGGGCCGTATCAACCGCGGGTGCCTGCAGGACGAGGGGGTGCTCCGATGGGACGGCGCCTGTCGCAAACCCTGCACTCGTGCCATATGGGCGACTATCATCATCATCATCATCATCATCATCATCATCATCATCATCATCATCATCATCATCATCATCATCATCATCATCATCATCATCATCATCACCACCACCACCACCACCACCACCATCATCATCATCATCATCATCATCATCATCATCATCATCATCATCATCATCATCATCATCATCATCATCATCATCATCGTCGTCGTCATCATCATCATCATCATCATCATCGACATCAACGACATCAACGACATCAACATCGTCATCCTCTTCCTCCCCATGTCCTCATCCATGTCCTCCTCTATCTCCTCCTCCATGTCCTCTTCCTCTCCGCCTGCTCGCAACTCGAACCTCGCTTGTCGCTCTCCGCTCCTCGCTCTCCGCTCCTTTACCTCCTCCTTTTCCTCCTCCTCCTCCTCCTCCTGCTCCTGCTCCTGCTCCTCCTCCCCCCCCTGCCCCTCCTCCTCCCTCTCTCCTCCTCCTCCTCCTCCTTCTCCTCCTCCTCCTCCTCCTCCTCCGCCTCCTCTCTCCTCCTCTCCTCCTCCTCCTCCTCCTCCTCCTCCTCTCCTCCTCTCTCCTTCTCCTCTCCTCCCCCTCCTCCTCCTCCTCCTCCTCCTCCTCCTCCTCCTCCTCCCTCCTCCTCCTCCTCCTCCTCCTCCTCCTCCTCCTCCTCCTCCTCCTCCTCCTCCTCCTCCTCCTCCTCCTCCTCCTCCTCCTCCCTCCTCCTCCTCCCCTCCTCCTCCTCCTCCTCCTCCTCCTCCTCCTCCCTCCTCCTCCTCCTCCTCCTCCTCCTCCTCCTCCTCCTCCTTCCTCACTCCTCCTCCTCTCCCTCCTCCTCCTCCTCCTCCTCCTCCTCCTCCTCCTCCCCCTCCCCCTCCTTACTCCTCCTCCTCTCCTCCTCTTTTTCCTCCTCCCTTCCTCCTCCTCTCCTCCTCCTCCTCCTCCTCCCTCCTCCTCACCTCTCCTCCTCCCCTCCTCCTCCTCCTCCTCCTCCTCCTCCTCCTCCTCCTCCTCCTCCTCCTCCTCCTCCTCCTCCTCCTCCTCCTCCTCCTCCTCCTCCGTCCTTGCGGCGGACGCGTGTTCGCCCGCTCCCAGAGCACAGTGGTCGGGAGCCTGCCGACACCTCCACCAACCCTCTCAGAAGGAGCGGCACCCATGGGGGTGGTTGGCCGCCTCAGACAGCGGCCACAAAGCCTATAGACTTCGTTGCCCGGGATCGCGGCCAGCTGCGCGAAGACCCGGTGGCCGTTGCCGCCGTTCTGCTGGCTCCGCCGGGCGGCCTCGCCCGGCAGCCGCGCGGCGCCCGCCGCCCAGCCGGCGCCGAGCGCGCGCGGCCAGGCCAGCGCCGCCCGCCCAGCGCGGCCCAGCCCCAGCGCAGCCCAGCGCTGCAGGAGGAGGGGCGCGCGCCGCCTAGTCAGCTGCCCAGCGCGCGGCCCACCTCTGCGGCGCACTGCCCGCGGTCGCTGGCTGCGCCCGTCGTGCCGGGGTCGCCGCTTCGTCCGTCGGTTCAGCCTGGCCGCTCAGACCGGCGAGGGCCGCGCCGCCGAAACCTCAGCGCTCAATTGGCGCGTTGCTCGGGCGGGCCAGGGCCGCCAGGGCCCGCCAGGCGCCGCGCTGCGGTAGCGCGCAGGGTGGCCTTGCCATCGCTCGGACGTCCATTTCCCGTGCATTTTTCGGTTTCGTGCGTTTTTTTCCTGCTCTATGGTCCAGGATGGTCCTCGATGGTTCTCGCCGAGAAAAAAATGCACACGTCCGAGCGATGCCAGGTGGCCGCGCGGTAGGTCTCCGCGCTGTCGCGCTGCCGCGCGGCGGCCAGGCTTTACCGTGCTGCCGCCAGCGTCGCCGGGTCCCCCGCCGCCCAGCTCCTCAGCATCGCCTGTGCCTCCTTCCCGGCTCGCCCCACTGTTTCAAAGGCGACCGGGGCCGGGCCCGGGTGGCGCCGGTGTCTGCGGGTCTCCGCCGCCGCCGCCGCGGCCCCGTCGCGCGCGGCGCGGCTTCGCCTGGCGGCCGCGCCCGAACCCAAGGACGCGTCGGCGATCACCACGTCGGCGTAGTAGGTGACCCCCGCGGCCAGGTCGGCGGAAGCCACGCCGAGCCGCGCGGCCTCGAGGGAGCCGTCCGGGCGCGGCCTGTCCCAAGCGGGGTCGAACTGCTCCGTCCTTACGCCGGTGGCGCCCCGCGCCGCCAGCCACCGCGCGAGCCACTCCCAGACGCCGTCGTGCTTCAACAACGCGCCGCCCCCCTCCACAACTACACGATAGGAATACTGCTCTCCTCTTTCCCCAGATGACGTCCAGAAGGTGTTCGGCCCCCCTCCGCGCACAGTTTTTGACACAAGATTCGCGGGAGTTGGGTCTTCGTTTGTTTTTTGTTCGAGGTGTTGTTCCCGCTTCAACGCTGGCCTCATTTTCAAGCTTCCGCTCGTTCCGAATCGTGTTCCCGCTGCAGCGTTGGCCTCATGTCCGCGCTTCCGCTCGTTCCGAATCGTGCTCCCGCTGCAGCGTTAGCCTCATGTCCGCGCTTCCGCTCGTTCCGAATCGTGCTCCTGCTGCAGCACTGGCGTCATTATTTGCAGTGCCATGCCACGGCATGCAATGCGATGCTAAGTGGTGTTCTTCTGTGCGCTGCCATGCCTTCGACTGCAACGCCAGGATATGATATGCAACGCTTGACTGCGCAGCGCCATGCCATGCTATGCCATGCTACGGCTTGATATTCAATGCCATGTTATGCCATGTTATGTTCTGTGCCGCTGTGCGATGCCATTCCTTGCGTTGCAACGCTTTGCGATGCAATTCTTCACTACGCAACGCCACGCCATGCTATGACATACTACGCTCTGCCGTGCTCTTCTACGCCCGTCTATGCAGCGCTTTACGATACATCGCGCACCCTCAGGGGATCACTGCCCTGCTCGACATCCAGCTATGCGAAAAGAGAGGAGATAGATCTACGCCACGGTAAGGGGTGGAAGGCAGGGGCAGGAGGTCGGATATCATGCGAACGCACCTAGCTTGCCCCTCCCCCTTCCCCCTCCCCCCCCCCCCCCTCCTCCTCCCGCCCTCCCTCCTCCTCCTCCTCCTCCTCCTCCTCCTCCTCCCCTCCTCCTCCTCCCTCCTCCTCCTCCTCCTCCTCCTCCTCCTCCTCCTCCTGCTGCCCCCAGGAGGGGGCCGCGCCTGTCGAACAGCGTCGCCCCCGGGGGGGCAGCGCCCTGCGAGCTGGAGCCCGAGCCCTCTTGCGCCGGCGGCTGCGGCGGCGGCTCCTGCGGGCGGCGCGCGCGCCGGGCGCGCCGCTGGGCGCGCTCTGGAGGTGCGCCAGGGGCGAGGAGACGCGTAGCAGGCGGGAGAGCGAGCCCAGACATCGGGCGGCTCGAAAAAATCGAAACAAAGGTGTTGACCCGCTCTCAGGCCAGCACTTTTTGTCAGTCGAAGTGCGACGCAGGCGATTTATCATGCGGGACGCCGCGCACACGCTGAAACAGCGCAGGCGCAGGCACAGAGACTGAAATCCACATCAAAAAGTGTGTCGAGGCGAGGGATGGCCTTGGGCGGACAGAAAAAGGCTTGAGAGTCAGTGTCCATGACGATCGTCAACATTACCATTGACATTAGCATGACCCGCTCTCAGGCCAGCACTTTTTGTCAGTCGAAGTGCGACGCAGGCGATTTATCATGCGGGACGCCGCGCACACGCTGAAATAGCGCAGGCGCAGGCACAGAGACTGAAATCCCGTAATCACGCCATTCATATGAAGTAAGCTGGCAGAGCTGGGCAATTCACAATTGGCTGAGCGTGGCCACAGCACGGCGATGGACTACATGTATGAGGACATCGCCGATGAACTTAGCTACTACAGGAGGGTATGGCTCCGCAACTTTAGAGAGCCATTTACCCCCCATCTTCCCCCGGATGTGCACATGTTTACGGCCAGTGAACGAACAAAGCCCCCCACGACCATGGCATCGCAGGTGTGGGGCCTCGACAGTGCCACAATGCTGGAAAACGAGCTTGGTCCTTTTGCGCATGGGACCTCCAGCAGCACAAAAATCCACATCGACCGCGGAGCCGCGAGCGATAGAACGGTACCGCGAGGGAAAACACCAAAGGATGGAGGTTTGAGGGTTCTCCTCGCCGCAGCAGATGCCCAGATCCCAGGCGAGCTGCTGGAGGCGTCCTCCCGCGTCGATCAGACTATTAGCAGCGCGCACCTGTGCGCGGTGACGAGCAGACAAGTCAGGCAAGCCACGGTAGTGCTCAGATGACCTCAGCGGCGGCGGCATGCGACCTGACCTGTCAGTGCGGGCTCGAGTCGTGGTGACGCACGGCGTCGCAAACCACAGCGCCCACACCAGGCCCGCACGCATCCAGCCGGCGATGGTGAGCACGACCTCACGACGGCTGAGGTCAAACTGCGGTCCTTGCAGCTTGTCGAAGGCGATGCAGGCGTAGCCCTTGCTGCGCAAGTACCTGCTCACCGGCGCAGTGCCAGCGAAGAGGTCCACGAAGACGTTGTGCTTCAGCATGGTAGCATCAGCACGCGCCGCACGCAGGCTGACAGCAAGAGCCGGGCCAGCTCGCGCTCGCGGCGCCGCGCGTCCTCGCTCGGCTGCACGGGGATGCGGCACATCATCAAGCCCAGCCTGGCGTGCCTCTCGTAGCACTGCTCGCTCTGGAACGAGCGCCACCCGCTCCTCTTCGAGACGTCGAGGAGGGCCCGTGACCGGGAGGACACGTCCTCCGAGGCCCCCCCGTGCCGGAGGGAGTACGGCGTCACGTTCAGCTGCGCCAGGCTGAAGCTGTGGAGACAGCTGTTCCAGACCAGGAGGAAGCCGGTGTAGCCGAACTTGAAGAGCCTTTTCCGCTCCCCCGGCTGGCCTTCAGGAGGCGCAGCGCAAGCTCCAGCAGGCGGTGCCGTGACAGGTCCAGGACGACGCTGGTGTCGCGCTCGCCGGTCTCGCCAAGCACGTCTAGCTCGCTCGCGCGGATCAGGATGGCCCAGAAGCGGCATGCCCCCTTCTCGCCCGGCGCGGGCGGCACCAGCTGTAGGCCGAGGAGGATGAGCGCCTCGCTCGGCCGCCTGTACGTCTTGAGCGTCAGCAGCAGGAAGAGGGCGTAGTCCGCCTTGCTGTCGGCACAGAGCCGCAGGGCCATCAGCACGGCCAGCTACCGAGGGGCTGGCGGGCGCGACAGCGGCTTCTCGAGCCGGCGCCAGCCAGTGCCCGCCGCCGTCGCCAGTGGTAGGCCCCGGCACAGCGGGCGCGGCAGCTCGGGCAGCGCCCAGCGCACTGCAGCCAGCGTGCTCGGTCAGGCGTGTCGGCGCGGCAGGGCGATGCCCTTCAGCCGCGGCCTCCAGCTGGCCTCGCCGCCCTCCGGCTCCGGCGCCACCAAGGGGCGCAGCACCCGGCTCGGGGCAAAGGGGGCCCGGCTCGGCCTCTGGCTCTGCGTCGGCACCAGCGCCCCGCAGAACAGCGGGCTCGGGCCCGGGGAGCCCCGCAGCGAAAGGCCCTGCAAAGGCCCGCCGCTTGGAGCGCCCTGCCGCGAGCTGCTCGCGAAGCCCTGCAGCGCCCGCGGGCCCGTGGAGCCGCGCCTCGGCGAGCGCGATCGGCCGCAGGAAGGGCGCGTCGCCGCACTCACCCTCGAGCCGAGGCGGCGGCTGGCGACCAAGCTCGACGTCCCCTGTAAGATCAGCGGGCGGAGCAAGTGCGGTGTGAAAGTGTCGAGCATGATGAGACGACGATGGGTCATATCTTCTGCTGGGCTCGTCCGCCGAGTTCCACTCCGAGGGGATCCATCGAAAGGAGACACGTGCTCCGAGGGCCAGGCTCATAGCGCAAAACTCGCGGCACCTCCGAAGCAGGTACCACGACGAGCTCCGTCCCTTGCACGAGGTGAGGACCCAGGCCATTGAGTCAGACAAAACTAAGTGCCGCTTCTGGGCGCTCTGGCGGCTGCGGGCCAGCCGCCGAACCTGCCACAGGGCTGCCTCCGCCTCGAGCGCCAGGATCTTGTCCTTGCGCCTCCAGCGGCGAGCTGCCACCACGCCCCAGTCATCGCCGCGGGCCAGGGCCGACGGCACCTCCTCGAAGGCGGAGCGCAGCCCCAGCGCACGCAGCTGCTCGGACGAGGCGTCGACGATGTCGCACAGCGAGGGCTCAGCCTCCTCCCCCTCGACCAGGCAGCGCGGGCGGCGGGAGGTGCGCAACGCCCCTCGGTACCGCCCCCGCTCCGAGGCACGGCCGACGCGGCCCACCTCGGCGGGGGGCCAGACCTTCTCGGTGACGCCGAAGCCGTACAGCGAGGCGTCGACCGAGGCGACTGCGGGCGACCAGGGCAGGCTCACGTCGGCGACGGCGAGCGGCAGCAGCGCCCAGGCAGCTCGGAGCTCGCGCCGCACAGAGGCCCACACGCGCGCCGGCTGCCCGAAGTAGCGGTCGGCGAAGACGTACACGGCCGAGAAGATGGACAGCATCTCCGGCCGCAGCAGCATGATGGCAGAGGCATGGCCGACGGCGCGTGCAATCTGCCGCCCCGTGCGGCGCTGGCGGCCCCAGCCCAGAGCGCGGAGGGCCAGTGCGACCTTCCAGAACTTCCTCGCCGTCGGCCGCCACTGGGTGCCCGTCGAGCCCAGCTCGAACCCGAGCAGCGGAGCGCCGGCAGGCTCTGGCGAGGCGTCCACTCCAGCGGCCGACACGGCGCCCAGCATGCGCTCCAGACGAGTGTTCGCCTCCGAGGCGCTCGTGCCCATGGCCGCGAAGTTGTCAATGTAGATGAGCGAGGCCCCCGAGCCGGGGCAGACGGGCTCGCGCGGCACGTACTGGGCCAGCCAGCGGTCCGCCGGGGCGCAGGGGCGAAGAATCTCCATCATGACATGCTGTATGAAGTAGACAGCCCAGGACCAGCCCATCGGCACCACTCTGAGGCGCAGGCGCACCATGCCGTCAGGCGGGCGCGCCCCAACCAGCTGGCGAGCGACGAGCGGGAGCGCGTCCCATGGCACGGGCGGCAGGCCAAAGGCCTCACGCAAGTGCACTGGCAGCAAGAACTGGTAGAAGCAGCACGTGACGTCGCCCTGGGCCACGAAGAGGCGCTCCCCCGCCTGCAGCTCGATGCTGCCGAGGGCCTGCGCCGCTGCCAAGGGGACGTAGTCGGGCTCGGCGAACTCCCTGTTCGAGGCCCTGGTGTCGAAGATCAGCCTGAGGGTCCCGTCCTTCTTGTAAACGAAGAAGGGCGCCACCTGAGAGAACGAAGTGCCAGCCTCGAGCATGTCGCGCTCGAGGAGATCAGCCAAAAACTTCCCATAGGTGCGTGGGCTGCTTGCAAGCCTCCGGTCAAAAGCCAATTTCGCCAACGACGAAGAAGATGTGGAGCCCCTCGTCAGCAAGGTGCCAGACTCACCCATCAGCAAAGAGCGGGGCCCCGCCGGCAGTGCAGCAGCTAGCTCCACCGCACCAGAGGCCGCGCGCGGAAGTGAGACCTTCCCGCGCTGGTAGGTGGCGTACTTCCCGCTGGCCATGTCGTCAAATCCATAGCCAGGATCGGAGCCGATCACGGCGCGTGTGGCCGAGTCGGCGGTCAGGTCCGTCGGGCAGCTGGGCACGGCGGCGTAGGAGCTGCGAAGCCGCTCCAGCGCGTCGGTCTGGGGGCCAGAGGCTGCTCCAGCCCGCCGAACAGTGCCGCGCCCTCCCATCTCATTGAGGGTCCGCAGGCCTGCCGAGAGCCACTCCGAGCCCAGCGCATCCCCATGGCGCGGTGCAGGCGAGGCGGGCTCAGGCAGAGGAAGCAGGTCCCTGGGATCTGCCGCAAGACCTGGCGGCATAGCGGCGGCGCGAGCGCTCAGCCGCCTCCCCTGGTGGTGTAGAAGCGGCGCCCAGCCGGGGGGACTCCGGGGCCGCTGCAGGGTAGCACGGGGGTGGGAGGCGTCAGCCCTGCCCCCCCGAGCCAGCGCCCGGGGTGCCAGTCTGGCCGTCCTTGCCCTTCTTGTTGTCCTTGAGCTTCTCACTGTGGTCGGCGCCGATCGTCTGGCCAGCGCCGCCGCCGCCGCCGCCGCCGCCCAGGGACGCCGCCGCCAGAGCCCGCTCCTCGTGACCCTTGCGGCGCTCCCTGAGCTCGGCAGCCTGCTCCTCCATGCGCTTCGCCACCCAGCGCTCCAACTCGGGCGAGGTGAGCGCGTAGCCCTTGGCACGGTCGCCGCCGAGAACCAGGTGCCTCTCGTCCGCGAGCCCCGCCGCCACCGCGCCCTCCCTGGAGGCGCGGCTCCGCTCCTGGTACCGCTCCTCCCGGGGCTGGTAGCCGCGGGACATGCTCTCACAGCAGGCCAAGATGCAGATGTTGACCTGGTCGCACGGCTGCCCGTGCAGGATGCACTCCGAGAGGAAGAGGTGCACGTCGATCCCTGGGCCCGATGATGTCGCCCCCAGCGCTTGTCTCCACCAATGGTCGCGCGGCACCGAACCCATGCCGCTCTTGGCGGAGGCCTCGATGAGCCACTGCACGGTGCGGGGGCCCTCCAGTGGCCAGGCGTCGTCCAGGACCTCCTCGCGCAGCAGGTGGTGCGCGGACTCGAGGCTGCGGGTGCGCCCCCCGAGTACATTGTACTCGACCGCCAGTGTGCGAAAGTCCTCCGCCGCGTCCGCCACGCCCTCGTCAGCTGGCAACGGCATCGGCAGGTCGCGGCACAGGCGGTACCACACCCCCTCACGGCACAGCAAAGCCTGGCCCGAGGCGCCGACGGCGATGCCCGAGTCGCGGATGGTGATGCCCTCGCCGCGCCTGCGGGGGCCCTGGTCCTCGCCGACGAACCACTCCCCGCCCACGATGCCGGTGTGGGCAGCCAGCGAGCCGGGGTCGTAGGAAGCGGGGTCCACGTCAGCAGCAGGCACCAGCGCGCCAGCCGCGCAGGCGGGCGCAACGCCGGTGTCGGCGATAGGCGCGGGCCCCCGCCCACCTCCAACGGCAGCTCGAGGTGTGGAAGCCCAGCCAGCCAGGTAGGCTTCGGCCCGCTGGCGGAAGGCGCTGGCGTCGGCGATGTCCCCAGGGCCGAAGGCGTAGCGGAATGACTTGTGCCCAGAGAAGCGGTTCGGGATGCCGCCAGCAACAACACTAGGCAGCGCCTCCTCGTAGTCCTCCAGTAGCTCCTCGTACGCGTCGCCGTCCGGCGTGAGCACCACGTGGCCGCCTGAGGTGCGGCGAGGGGCGAGGCGTTCGTGCCAGACCCCCTCCGACGAGTCGAACGGGGCCCTGAAGCGGCGCCCCGCTGCCACAGAGCGGCCATCTGCCATCAGGCGAGCGGAGGAGCTCCGACCTCGCCTGCCGCGCGCCCCTGCAGGCAGTGTCAGCTGCCTGGTCGTCTCCAGGCCCGTGGTCACCACGAGCGGAGCCGTCGGCCGAGGCGGCGTCCACCAGCGGACTGCCCCCCAGCCCGTCACGAGCTGCCCCACCACGACGGCGAGCAGCTGGGCGGTGGACCAGCCAGGGGACCCACAACCGCACTGGCAGCCGCAGATGGGCGCGGGTGGCGCGGACCGCACCAGCAGGCAGAAGGGGCCGATGGAGAATGCGCAGGGGACAGTGGACGGGTCGACCGGCATCCTAGTCCGGACAGAAAAAGGCTTGAGAGTCAGTGTCCATGACGATCGTCAACATTACCATTGACATTAGCATGCATAGTTTTTGGCCTCTCGGGGCCCTCGCCGGGCCTCGGGGCCGTCAAGAAACGGCTCGGGATGAAAAGCCGGTCCCAGGGAAGTGGTCGGGAGGTCGGGGGCCCGCGCCTCGAAAAGATCGAGACGTCGGATGTCTGGGAGGGGGGACGGGGGAGGGATGGGGCAAGGACAGTCAGACATCGTGCCAAGACAACACTGCCGGGACGTTTGAACCCAGACGTTTACCCTGAAGCTGCCGCAACTTCATAGCACGGATGCGCGCGGCGCTACAGCCAGAGCCACGCTTTGAGAAAGAACCGCCCTCCACCCGCGAAGCTCTTGTAAGTTTTGAAAACGAATGCGTGCGGCGCAAAGGCGAAACCCACACTTTCAAAACGACCTGCCCTCCATCCTTGAAGCGATTGCAATTCATAAGGACGGATGCACACGGCGCGAAGGCAAGAGCCGCATTTTGAAAAAGACCCGCCCTCCATTAGTGAAGATCATGCAATGTTTGTTTAAAGAACATGCGCGGCACGATGGCGAGAGCCACATTTTGAAAACGACCCGCCCTCTATTCGTGAATCTGCTGCAAACTCTAAGCTTCAGGATCTTAAACTGTGAAGAAATCTCCGACGAAACGCCTGGCCCGCCTTTTCGACCGGTCTCCGGGTGCGACAGGAAGGAGCTACTCATAAGGAAAGGAATGGTGGGGGAGGAGGACGAGGAGGAGGAGGAGGAACGAACGAACGGACGGACGAACGAACGAACCCTACGGCGAATGGCTGAGTTTGTAGCAGGGCGAGGAAGAGGAGGAGCAGGGGGAGAAGAAGGAGGAAAAGGAGGAGGAGGAGGAGGAGGAGGAGGACGAGGATGAGGATGCGGATGAAGATGAGGATGAGGATGAGGATGAGGATGATGATGATGATGATGATGATGATGATGATGATGAGAGGAGGAGGAGGAGGAGGAGGAGGAGGAGGGAGGAGGGAGGAGGAGGAGGAGAGAGGAGGGGAGGAGGAGAAGGAGGAGGAGGAGGAGGAGGAGGAAGAAGGACAGGAGGAGGAGGAGGAGGAGGAGGAGAGGAGGAGGAGGAGGAGGAGGAGGAGGAGCGAAGATGTGGAGGAGAAGCGATGAGGAGGAAGATTTGCAGGCGAGTGCCCACCGGCCCAATCAAAAAACAGCAAGACGACCATGAGGGCAGACCGCGCCGCCCCGGCCCGGCCTCGAGGCTTCCGACGGAGTTCAAGTCTTTCCTCGGCGCAGCCTGGGAGCAGAGCCCCCCTCTGGCAACTTCGGGAGGGGGCCCGAGGAGATCTGCTGGCAGGCTCAGAGAGCGCCCCTGCCCGCACCCGTAGGGGTTTGCTTGATTACCTACGCTGGCGCCCGAGGTTGCGCACCCTGCCGTGGCCCGAAGGGGCTTTGCAGTGCAAGCGAACGACCAGAGAGGCCCCGCTGGAGCCCCCGAGAGAACTGACACCGTGCTGGAGCCCGGCGCGCACCTGAAGGTCGAACTCCTGGAGGCCCCTGCGCTGCCCGCCAGGAGGCTCCGAGTCCGACCGAGAAGCGCGAGGGCAGGCCTCGCTCCGTCCGTCCAGTCGAGACGAAGTGCCAGCGGTGGGGGGACGAGGTCGGCCTCGGGAGCAGGCAGGAGTCTTGACGCGCTCAACTCCTCGTCCTCGTCCTCGTCTTCCGCGAAGCGGCCGTACTCGACCCGCGGGTCGTGTTGATGATGTGCACGCGCGGTGGAAAGCCGGGGGGAGGAGCGAGGAACCGCTCAACTCCTGCTCCGAGGGGGCGCGCAGGCCAGAAGGGGCGGGGCAGCAGCCCTGCTGCCAGCACCCCCCACTGCTTGAGAGATAGGAGCGCAGCTCTCGCCTTCGCTCAGGGCGCCCATCCCCCGTGTGCCTGTTGGCTTCGCGCGCGCTTGTTTCGTTGGGGGGGGCGCGATGACCCAAGGTGCTCCTCGAGGGCCCGGCGCCGAAAGAGAAGGACACGCCCGAGCGCTGCGAGGAGCTGCCAACTCCTTCTGTGCTCACCGCGTCTGCCTGCAGCCACCATCGCCGCCGTGCCGTCGCTCCCCTGCGGCACTGCGGGCAAAGCGGTCCTTCTCCGCCGAAGCCCGCGCCGCGCCCGCGCCCGCCGCGCGCGGCGCGACGCACGACCCCCTTCCTCAGAGATCCTCTGGAGGGGGGGCTCAAAGAGCATCTGGGTTCCTGGGCACCCCGCAGCTGTCGTCGCTCCCCTCCTCTCCCTCCTCGCGCCACCGCCGCCCCCCCCCTCTCCGCCTCGAGGGCCTCGTGCCTCCACACGCCAGGCGGCAAAGGCTGCTCGGGAGGAGGAGGAGGAGGAGGAGGAGGAGGAGGGAGAGGATGAGGATGAGGAGGAGGAGGAGGAGGAGCAGGAGGAGGGGGAGGAGGAGGAGGAGGGGGAGGAGGAGGAGGAGGAGGAGGAGGAGGAGGAGGAGGAGGAGGAGGAGGAGGAGCAGGAGGAGGAGCAGGAGGAGGAGGAGGAGGGGGCGCTCGAGCTGCGGATCACGAGGACGCGCGGCCAGGGTACCAGGCCCGAGGACGCTCGGACCGAAGACGAGCTCGGGAGCCCACGACCCACGGCGACGCACGGCCCAGGATGGCCGCGCGGCGAGCGAGGGGGGGAAGCGAGAAGGGGCGGGCCTTCGCAGAAGGCTCGGAGCCCCCCGGGCCTCTCGAGAAATGTTCTGGGCCCTCCCCGGAGATGCAGAAGCCTTCTCAGAGGGCGCGGGGGCCTCTGAGAGGTCCCGCCGCCTTCGGAGAGGGCCTTCTCCTTCTCGTTCTCCCCCCCTCGCTCGCCGCCGATAGGATTGGCCGAGAGGCAAGGGTGCGAGGGCACCCTTGGCAAGCTACTCGTCCTCATGGTGCGGTTCGACTGCCGGGCTTTCGCTCTTGGCGACCCTGGGGCCTCCCCCCCCGGACGACATCTTCATCCCGAGCCGTTCTCTGACAGCCCAGAGGCCCCTGGAGGGCCCCGAGAGGCAGAAAGCGGCGAAAAACCCTTAGGACCCGCTTCCCGCAGCGCCCGTTGCCCCCACGGCGAGGAGCGAAAGAGTCGGAGCCGGAGTCGGAGAAGGACGAGGAGGAGCGAGGGCGGAGGCGGTGTCGGCACGGCCCCCGCCCCGCCGAGGGGCCTCCGAAGGGCCGCCGAGGGCCGCTGCCGCCGAGGCGGGGGCGTCCTCGCTGGCCTCGGACGACCCCAGCGCCGCCGCCAGCGCCTCCCGCGCCCGCGCCTTGACCTCCTGCCCGGGCCGCTCGGCACCGTGGCGCGCGCGCGCGGCGCCGCGCGCCGTCTTCGCCGCCGCCGGTCGCCGCCGCCGCCGCCGCGGCCTCGTGTCGCGGGGCCCTCGGCGGCCCTTCGGCGGTCCCGCGGCGGCCCCTCCGCACTCCCTCGGCGGCCTTGGGCAGCGGAGGTCGGCATCGGAGGTGTCGCCACCGCCGCTGCCGCCCGCCGCCGCCGCCGCCCCGTCGTCCTCGTCATCGCCGCCGTCGTCGTCGTCGCCGTCGCCGTCTCTGTCGCCGTGGAGGAGGAGGAAGAGGAGGAGGAGGAGGAGGAGGAGGAGCGGATAGAGTGGTGTGTGGAGGTTTTCTCCAGGACCCCCCTCCATGGCAGCAGAAGGCGGAGAGAAGAGGAGGAGCAGGAGGAGGAGGAGAAGGAGGAGGAGGAGGAACCACGACTCGCCAACGATGTTGCAAGTACCCCTCCCTCCAAGCTTCCTGTTCATAGGCTCCTATCAAAACTGATTCACTGCGGGAAGAGCCCCGTTAGCAGACAACCGTTTGAAACAAATCAAGCGAGCCAAAGCACCGTCCATGGGACTTCAACGCCGCTATTTCACGTCACCGTTGGAACCTGACGTTCCTAAACGTGCCAGAACACCATATCAGGCATACCAACACTGCGAATCAACGTGACTGCCGCGCCCTGACATTCCTAAATCGTGCCAAAACACCAGCTCTGGGACGTCAGCCATACAAACCCTTGAAACTGCTGTAAGCTATTACGACGAATGTGTGCTGCGCTAAGGCGCGAGCCACGTTTTGAAAACGAACCGCCATCCATCCGTATAACTCCTGCTACCTGTTAAAACGAATACTTTGCGCGGCGTCAAATGGAGAACAACATGTTGAAAAGGTACCGCTCTACATCCTTGAAACCCTTGCGACTTGAAAGACGAATGTGCAAGACGCCAAGATAACCACATGTTGAAAAAAGGCCCGCCCTCCATCCGTGAAACCCCGGCAAACTTTTGAGACGAACGAGCGCGGCGAAAAGCGATAAAGCGAGAACCACATGTTGAAAGCCAGCCGCCCTCCACCCTTGAAGCTCTTACACATGTCAAGCTTCAGGATCATAGATGGCGAGAGAGTCTCAGGCGAAGCGCCCCGTCGGCCCTACCGCCCCGTCTCGGGGTGCGACAAAGGAAACCTGCTTATAAGGAAGGGAGAAGGATGGAGGGAGGAGGAGGAGGAGGAGGAGGAGGAGGAGGAGGAGGAGGAGGAGGTGGAGCACGAGCACGAGCAGGAGCAGGAGCAGGAGAAGCAGACGGAGGGGAAAAGGAAAAGTAGGGCGGGGCAGCACCAGCAGGAGCAGAGCAGGAGCAGGAGGAGGGGAGGAGCAGGAGGAGAGCAGAAGGAGGAAGGAGGAGGAGGAGGAGGCGGGGGAGGAGGAGGAAGAGGAAAAGCAGGAGGAGGAGGAGGTGGAGGTGGAGGAGGAAGAGGAGCAGGAGCAGGAGCAGGAGGAGCAGGAGGGGGAGGGAGGCGAGAGTGCGAGGGGCGCCGCGCGCCGCCGCCGCTGGCCGCCGTCGCTCACTGCCGCCGCCGCCGCTCGCCCCCCGCGCGGCCGCGTCCTGCACCTCGGCGTGGTCGGCGCTGGGCGCCTCGCTGGCGGCCTTCGCCTGCGCCCCGGAAGCCTTCCGAGGGGGGCAGGGCGGCGAGCGCCACCACCGCTGCCGCCGCTCGCCGCCGCCGCTCGCCGCTCGCGGCTCGCCGCCGCTCACCGCTGCCGCTCGCCGCCGCCGCTCGCCGCCGCCGCCACCGCGCGCGGCCTCGCTCGCCGCCGCGGGCGGGCCCGGAGCCGGCGGGGGCTGCTCGGGCGCCGCCGCCGCCGCCGGGAGTGCCTCCTGGTCGGGGCGGGGCGGCCGCGCGGGCACCGTGCGGAAGCCCTCGCGAGGGGCCCTCGCGGAGGGGCCCTCGGAGGCCCGCAGAGAGCCCCGAGGGCCCTCGCAAGCTCTCGGGTGCTCTCGGGGGGGGGCCCTCGAGCAAGCCTCTTTGGGGGGGCGGCCCTCGGACACTCTCGGGGCGCCCGCGGGGTGCCTTCGGAGGCCCTCGGGGGCGCTCGGAAGGCCATCGGGAGCTCTCGGGAACTTTCGGGGGGGCCCTCGGGGGGGCCCTCTGGATGCCTTTGGCAGCTCTCGGGAGGCCCCTCTGAAGCCCTCAGGAGGGCCCTCGGGGGCCCTGGGAAACCCTCGAGAGCCAGATGCTAAACCAGGCATCCCAGCGCCAGCCTCCGCGGGGGCCTCCCGTGAAGGCCGCATTCTCGAACTCGAAGCACACCTTCCTCGCGCGGCTCATGAAGGGGGGGCTTTGGGAGCCCCAGTCCTAGCAACAAGACGAAGCCAAGGCGAGGATAAATTCGAGTGAGGATATGTCGAAAGAGAACAGATCCTTGAGGATAAATCGAGAATCTCTCAGATTCCGCGGTTGTGGAGGATGTCTCGGGCGCCGCGGCCTTCTCGGAGCGTTCCAGAACGCTCCGGACCGCTCGGGTATGGACGTACTCTCGTCATAGCCACGTCCAAAGAGCCCCAGCCCCGGAAGTCTCACGATGTGCCTTTTCAGATCTGCGGCCCCAGAGGTCCCGACGCACTGCCAGGAGGCAGCTCTTCGCCCCAGTCCTGGGGCTCGAACGCGGAAGCGGCCCCCAGAGACCCTGTTTTGTTGGGAGCTGTGTGATTGACGAAGCACATCGTCGAATGTCGGGGGACTTGGGGCCATTGGGCTCCATCCCCCTGCTGCTGAAGCCTTCAAGGCCCTGCTGGACAGGGCCAGGCGACTCCTCGCCGCGGGGCAGGCGGAGGGAGCCGGAAGGGAGGTGGGCGCAGTCGTTCCTGCGGGGAGCTCGAAACGCACGGCGCAACGGGAAGCGATTGCCGAGGGACGTGCGCGGCCCGCCTGGGACGTTCGGCATCACCCAGGGTGGCAGGGTCCCATTTGGGTCCGCGTGGGGGGAACCCGCGCGGGGGTACAGTTCGCTACAGGTGCCTCCTCCTCCTCCTCCTCCTCCTCCTCCTCCTCCTCCTCATCCTCATCCTCATCCTCATCCTCATCCTCATCCTCATCCTCATCCTCATCCTCATCCTCATCATCATCATCATCATCATCATCATCATCATCATCATCATCATCATCATCATCATCATCATCATCCTTTTTACGTTAGACGAACGTGAGGAACTAGCCTGTCGCGTGTTTGCAGGTGCGAAAAAACTGAAATCGGTTCGGGGCAGTGCACCTGGCGGGCGCCTCGGAAAGTGAGGGAACAACAGCCCAGGAAAAGTAAAGAAATGAGAGCAGGCGCCCGCCAGGTAGAGGACGGGATTCACTTCAGTGGATGAACACCACCTCCACCCAGTAAGTACCTTAATAGTAAGGAGTACCGCACAAGGAATGGTGAGTGTCGCCTCGGCACGGCAAGGTGCGAAACTGAAATATGGCAGATCTAGGGCTGCAACCCTTCAAGGTTGACCCCGAACCGTACGTACATCCTTCCCAACAGGTCCCCCACGCCATCCAAGATCCACACCCCCAACCCCGCCGTGTATAGACCTGCGGTACGCAAGAATAGAGCAGCCGTTGATTCCTGAGGGTCAGGTTTCGGCGGCTCGAGTGAAGCAATTGTAGGCTGGCCGTGGCGGTAGCCTTAGCCTAGAGAAAGAGCTGGGCCGCTCGTGTTGGGGTAGTCTAAATACTGGGCGTCGCGACGCCACAGGGCTGGGGCTGGCGTAAGGTCATCCTGTCTGCTGTAGGTCCACATCCTTCTCCTAGTCACCGCCTTACTGGGTGTAACCTCAGCCCTAGGAAAGTAATTGTGCCGCGTGTGTTGGGGCAGTCTAAATGCTGATGCGGTGTAAAAAACGTGGCGCCGCGACGCCGAGGGTTGAGGCCGGCGCGAAGTCATCCTGTCTACTGTAGGTCTTCCGTCTGCAAGTGCGCGAACGGCATAGTGCAAGCTGGCAGGGCAGGCCAGGTGCAATTGGCAGAAGGTAGCAGTTCTTGGGTTGCCGCCCAAGGTTTTGGGGTTCACCCCGAACCTCCTTGGTCCCAGGGCCTTCGTGCTTGTTGTGGATTATTTTTCGGGTTTAGCGTTTGTGTCAATGCTAAAATGCTCGTCAAGCTGGCTGGCGAAAGAACGGCTGGCCTGCGCGCGCAATTCTCGGGCTGCCACCCGCGGGGGAGGAGGCAAGAGAGGAAGGTGAAACGGAGGGGGTATCTGTAGGCATGCCTGCAAGTGCGCCAGCAGTGGATGGTCGAGGCTGGCCTCGAGGCTGGCCTGTGCAAAATTTGGTGCAGACTGTAAGTGATGCTTTCCCAACTGCAACTGTAGAGTATCTCCTGAGGGTGTGAGGCTTGAAGTTCTTCGCTCGTGGGCAAACTGCTCACGCGTCCTCGAGCTCGGGCTGTGGCCCTTGGTTAAAAGTGTGTTGCTGCGAGCAGGCAGAACGAACAAAACAAGTCGGTGTGCAATTCTTGGGCTGCTACTACTTCCCCTGCCACCTCTAACCTCCCACAGTCCCCCCCTCCGTCATGTAGTCGCATTTGCAAGTGCGCGAGCCGCAGGCTGGTTACGGTTGGCCTATGCGAGTTTTGGCGCAGGCTGCCAACAATGCTCTATTTCTGCTGTAGATCACGCCCAGCAGTAAGCAACGTCGTATTTGACGTCGAACCAACTGTAACAGTCCCTTGGGGTTTTGCCCAAGGTTTTATGGCGCACCCCAAATCATCGAGACGGCGCGGGCATGCTCCACCAACGCCACTCTCACTGGTCCGCCCCGACCCCCATCCATCCGCAGGTATCTGCTGAGAGTACTGGCGGCAGTAAGCAAAAACGTAGTAGACGCCAGGCAAATTCTAGCAGTCCTCGGGATGTCCCCCAAGGCTTCGGGCGCACCCCAAGCCATAGAAGCGGCGGCGATAAGAAGAAAGGGGGGTCTGACTAATGAGATAGTCGATGTTCGACGGAAGAAACGTAGGCTGGCCATGGGTGCGGCCTTCGCCCTACAAGAGCTGCGCCGCTTGTGTTGGGGCAGTCTAAAGACAGGTTCGTCAAACACGTGGCGCTACGACGCCAACGGGCTGAGGCTTGCGCGAGGTCATCCTGTCTTTTGGAGGCCCTCAGTTTGCAAGCGCACGGATGACATAATAAGCTGCGCCCGAAGTCTGGCGATGTGTGCTACTGTGAATTAGCCATCGTGTTGAGGTTATTCCCTCGTGGGCAAACCGCTCACGCGTCCTCAGTGCTGACAGGGGCTAGTCGTTGCGCAAGTCGTGGGCTGCTATGCTTGGTCACCCTCCTCCGCCGCCATCCCCAATTCCTCTACTGCTAAAACCCCGCCCACCCGTCCTCGACGTAAGCAACCAAGGGTGCAGCAGAAGAATGGGATGACCAAGACCACTTGTTGGCGTGGGACCGCGGCGCCTGCCAACGCAAGCATGGCATGGCAAAAGAAGGGTGGCAGCGGCTGGTGCCATGCGTGCAAGCAGCCCAGGAGGGATATTGGAGTACTGTAGCATGTGTAGCCTGCCCCTCGGCCAGCCAAGTGGAAGAGGGGAGGTCAGTTGTCCATGTTGCGCGGCAATCGGAGCGCAAGTGGTACTTGCGGTCGAAATCGTGGCGCTGCCCTGCATGAGGCCGCTTCTGCGCTTTGTCGGGTGCTGCAGATCACTCAAGCGTTGTTGTTGCTGTTGCCGTTGCCTGGTCGGCTGCTCTGCGGCATGGGTTTCGGGGGTGCCTTGTACAGCCGCGACGTCACTTGGCGATGTCTTATTGAAGGGTGCGTCTTGTTGGCTGCGGCGCGCGCGGAAGCTGCGAGACATTGCTCGCGTCGCATCTGGCGCGGGCGAATTACGTCGACGTGCTCGTGGAAGCGCGGGCCCCTGACGTTGCTTGCGAAGGTGCGCCCGCGGCTGTCTGTCGCGCTGTGCTGCGCGCAGATAGCGTGCACAGCGGACTCCTGGTGCACTTGAGCTGGGATATTATATATACATATATATATACAGATGCAAGGTGGTGCATGTCCGCGGCGCAAGGCGGCGCATCGGTACCCGTTGTACTTGGCCGCCGCTGCGCGTGGATGCCCTCGTAAGGCGGGCAGACAATGGGCATGTTGAGTCTTGGAGGCGGTGGGTGCACTGGCATGGCTGCCTTTGCTGCAAGTAGCCGTGTGACGTTGCGTTAGCCGCCTTGGGCATGGGCATGACAGGTGTGTACGCGGTTGGGCTGTGGGTGGTTTGGGTGGTATTCGTGCGCGGCGGTGTTTTGTTGATGCGGAAGGATGGTAGAGGCGGTGGCTTGTTGGCTGGTGGTGTATGTATGTTCTTGGGTGGTGTAGTACGCGTGTGCGCGGGTGGTCTCGTTGGTAATTGCTGGCGTGTGTTCAATGGTGGTAGGGGGCAGCATGGTTGGTGGTTTCTTGGCAGGTGGCTCAGGCTTGGCCGGAATTGTTGCAGGTGGTGCTGCAGGTCTGTCGTCTGTCGCATTGGCGTTTGCCAGAGTGTCCTCTTCGCTTGAGGTGTCATTGTCTGTCGGTGGCGTAGGCCTGATAATGCTGGGGCAGCTGTCGCTGGGTTGCAAGATCGCTGTGGGAGCGCCGCTGTTTGGTATATATTGACCGCCACGTCATACTTCAGATTGTTGCCCATGCTGCGGCATGCGTTGGGCCCTCGCGCTGCCTCTTGCATCGCCGCGATCTTCGCGCGGGTCAATGGGGCTTGTCCACCAGTCATAGAATTTTGGACATGCCGGCGCGTGGTACATGCTGCTAGCTGGAATATCGCGTCGGCGAGGTAATAGCCCGCGAAAGCGCGCACGTCGCTGCCACGTCGGGACCAGGCCAGGTCAGTC